TCATGTCAATGCTTTTGCTTTGGCCATGGGATGGGTCATCTCCAGTGGTGGGGTGATCTGTCTGGCAACCTTTGTAGAATCAGAGGTAGAGTAGCCGGTACTTTTGTCACATGTTTTTTCTATATCTATGGAAATGATCATTTTTTTTTTATTCTTGACAGAAAGTTTATTGAACTTTATATAACAATATGTTGTCTTTTATTTTTTCCTAGAATTCCAGGAATCAGGGAGGTGGTAAAGTAGCAATGGTGAATTTGGGAATATGGTCTCCCAAAAGTACCTGCTGCTTATTGACATAAGATTACTACTTATACATGGAATCTAAAAAAATAAAACCAGTCAATAAAACAAGATAGAAGTAGGCTCATAGGTAGAGAACAAACTGATAGTTGCCAGAAGGGAGGGGTTTGAGGGGTGGATGACATAGGTAAAAGGGACTTACCAATGTTCAGTTTTAAAATGATTAAGTCATGGGGATGTAATGTGCAGCATACGGAATATAGTCAATAACATTGTAATAATTTTGTATGGTAATAGATGGACAGAAGACTTATAGTGGTGATCATATTGTAATGCATAAAATTATACATTTTCTAATGTATACAATGACAAAATAACTATGAGGTAAATTTGAAACTAATATATATTGTATTTCAATCATAGTTCAATGGAAAATACAAAATAAAAGAACTAGAGAAAAAGGATAGGAGAAGAAAACTGAAGAGTAATTAGAGCAGTTAATTGCAATTAGAGCAGAAAAACTTCAAATAAAGTGTTTAAAGTTACAAAGATCATTAATAAAGGAACTAAAAACAAAGATAGAACTATATTAAGAAAAGAGGAAGAGAGGTGATGGTGCATACAAAAAAAAAAATATTCACCCATTATGGAAGAATGCCATTAGGAAATGTGTAAAATTGTGAAATAACCATATAAATGTATTATTTAAAGATATGGAGGTAGCCACCAAACTAAATGCAAAATCACATTAATATGTGCCTATGTTTGTCAGACAATTTTACTGGTACATGAATCTTATCTTCAAATATGGTGATAGTGCTTTAAATTACAGAAATTGTGGCTTTTGAAAATAGATTAAACCAGTAATGATAGTGACAGAAGAAAAATGACTTCTTACATCATAAGTATACCTATATATTTTTAAGATTTGTATATTTATTTTAGAGGGAGAGATAGCATGTGCAGAGGGAGAGGGAGAGAGAATCTCAGACAGACTGCACCCTAAACATAGAGGCAGACACAGGGCTTGATCTCATGACCCTAAATCATAACCTGAGCCAAAATCAAGAGTCAGATACTTAACCAACTGTGCCACCCAGGTCACCCAAAGGTATATATTTTAACTACAACTCAAATTGCTTTTTACACTCTAAAAATCATAGTGTACTTAAGATTTACATTATTATTTCCTAAGAAAGATTTCACAAGATAATGATTTTCATTTGTTGCCATTATTATGTCTTGTATTCTAGTAGTTGAGCCACCTGTGCTACCTGTTTAGGGGTATTCTACTCCTCTTCCATCCCAACTATGGGCAGACATATGGCCTACTTCTCTTAGGCTCCATTAGAAAACACAAAACACTTTCCTCTGTGCTATTCACTCCAATTATATTTATAGCTCATTTAGCTCAATTCCTCATTTTGGAGATGAAGAAACAGGCCCAGAATAGGAAAAGCATTTACTTGTTTTACTGTATCATGGAAACATGTGTTTTAGGAGGAAAAATTCTAAAGAGTCCCCACAGTTCTATAGTTCCTATGTATTTAACTTCATTTTGTGAATTAGCTAATTTTGTATAGAGTAAATACTCTGAGGTGGATTCCAGTTTTATAAACAGCATCTTTCATTGAATAGAAAAAATGAATAATTTTGTAGCTTCCTTTTTTTTTCTGGTTATTTGATTTGACTTCATTTGACTCCTAATTAACTGTAATAATTAACAATATAAGCAATTTAATCAAATGTGTAGTATTGTGTAAAATAGCATGTAACTTCTGGGTGCTCTGGTGTAAATGAAAATATCTGCTGGAAAATAAAATAAGCTATCAATTGACTCTTTCTATTGATAACAGGGTGATACTTAACATATTTTGTACTGAATTGGTTTACCTTGTGTTCCTGTTGCCCAAAAGAAATAAAAAATCTGGAGAGGAGCAAGATGGCAGAGGAATAGGAGCCCTAAATTTCATCGGATCCCAGGAACTCAGATAGATAGTTATCAAACCATTCTGAATACCTACAAACTCAACAGGAGATCAAAGAAAAGAATAGTAATTCCAGGAACAGAAAAGCAACTACGTTCTGGTAGGTAGGACGTCAGGAGAAGTGAATTCAAGGTGATATATGGGAAGATAGACCATGGGGGAAGGGCCGGCTACCGACAAGTGAGAGAGCAGTGGAGCACAAAATCAGGGCTTTTAGAAGTCTGCTCCACTGAGGGATGTCACTCCAGTGGCTAAACGGGGGGGGGGGGCATGGGGGGTTGGAGTGGAATTCTCTTTGGGTCAGTGTGGTCTCAGGACATATGGGGTCACAGAAAGACAGGGGGTGCCAGAATGTGGTAGAGCTCCCAGGTATCAGAATGGGGAAGCCAGCTGCAAACACGGAGTTGAGGAGGGGCCTCTAAGATTGGGATTGCCATAAATCATGACCCAAGAAAAACTTGGGCCACTACTCTTCAAGCAGGCACACCACAAGTGGCAGAACCAGGGACACATCCCTTCCTCCACTGGGAGGAGTAATGTGGAAGCACCATGCAGGAATCTGCTGGGTTTGGAGACACCAAAAAGGGCTGTGTTCCAGAGACAGAAATTCTCAGTCACAGGCTGGGTGAGCTCAGAGTGCGGCCCAAGGCCAGGGGGACAGGCATGATTGATGGCTTTTCTCTGAGGGCTCACTGAAGAGGAGGACCCCTGAGCTCTTGGCTCCTCTAGGCCTGGAGATTGGAGGGAGCCATCTTCATCCTCATCCTCCAAAGCTGTATGGAAAGCTTTCAGGGAACAAAAGCTACTGAGAGCAACCCAAGCAGACTACATAGCCTGACCCCTGTCAAGGGGAGTGCATTTCTGCATTGGGCAATGACATTTGAGAATCACTGCAAGAGGCCCCTTCCCCAGAAGATCAACAAGAACATCCAGCCAATATCAAGTTCACCTATCAATGAGAAATGCAAAACAACAGTGCTAGGGGAATACAGCACATAAAATTCATGGCTTTTCCCCCATGATTCTTTAGTCTTTTAAAGTTAATTTCTTTAAAAATTTGTTATTTTTCCTTGTTCTATTTTTTTAAATTTTTCCTCTTTCTTATTATAACCTACTTTAGCTATTTTATCAATACTTTAAAATTGTATTTAACCTTATTTTTTGTATACATATAAATTCTTTATTTAAAATTTTGGGATAGAGTTTCTTCTAACAGATCAAAATATATCCTAAATCTAGCACATGGCTTTGTTCTAGTTTCCAGCCTGATCACATTTTCTGCTTTTTTTTTTTTTTTCTATTATCAACCAACTTCTTATCTTACCAATTCTTTTTTTATAATATTTTTAAATTTTCATCTTTACAGTCATATTCCATCCCTTCATTGTGTGTGTGTGTGTGTGTGTGTATTTTTTCCCCCTTTCTTCTTCCCCATTTCAGGTCTCTACTGGTTTGGTTAGTGTATATTTTTCTGGGATAATTGTTACCCTTTTTGCATTTTGTTCTCTCATTCATTTATTCTTCTCTGGCTAAAATGACAAGGTAGAAAAACTCCCCTCAAAAAAAAGAACAAGAGGCAGTACTGATGGCTAGAGACCTGATCAATATGGACACTAGTAAGATGTCAGAACTAGAGTTCAGAATGATGATTATAAAGCTGCTAGCTGGGCTTGAAAAAAGAATAAGAAGGTACTAGAGAATCCCATTCTGGAGAAATAAAATCCCTTTCTGGAGAAATAAAAGATCAAAAATCTAAACAAGTTGAAAAAGAAAAAAAACTATTAGTGAGGTGCAATAAAAAACAGAGGCTCTAACTTCTAGGATAAATGAAGCAGAAGAGAGAATTAGTGATATAGAAGATCAAATGATGGAGAATAAAGAAGTTGAGAAAAAGAGAGATAACAACTACTGGAACATGAGGGAACATTTCAAGAGATGAGTGATACCATAGGATGAAAGAATATTAGAATGATTAGGTCGCAGAAGTAGAAGAAAGAGAGACAGAGGCAGAAGATATATTGGAGCAAATTATAGCAGAGAATTCCACTAATTTGGCAAAGAGAACAAGGATCAAAATCTAGGATGCACAAGGAACCCCCATCAAAATAAATAAAAATAGGTTAACAGCCAACCTCTAATAGTAAAATGTACAAGTCTCAGAAAGAATGAGAAAATCCTGAAGCAGCTCAGGACAAGAACTCTGTAACCTACAACAGTAGAAATATTAGATTGGTAGCAGACCTATCCACAGAGACTTAGCAGGCCAGAAAACCTGGCATGATATATTCAGAGCATTAAACAGGAAAAATATGCAGTCAAGTATATACAGTCAGGAATACTATCCCCAGATAGGCTGTCATTGAAAAGAGAAGGAGAGATAAAAAGCTTCCAGGACAAACAAAAAATAAAAGAATTTGAAAACACCAAACCAGCCATATGGGAAATATTGAAAGGGGTCCTCGAAACAAAGAGAGAGCCTAAAGGTGGTAGACCAGAAAAGAACAGAGACAATATACAGTAACTGCCACCTTACAGACAATACAATGGCACTAAATTCATATATTTCAATAGTTATCCTGAATGCAAATGGGCTAAATGCCTCAAACAAAAAACAGAGGGTGAAACCATATGATAATTGACTCTCTCTACTCAACTTATTTCAATCAGCATAATCTCCTCCAGTCCCATCCATGTAGATACAAAAGTTGGGTATTCCTCCTTTCTGATGGAGGCATAATACTCCATTGTATATATGAACCATATCTTCTTTATTCATTCATCTGTTGAAGGACATCTTTGCACAGCTTGGCGACTGTGGCCACTGATAGTTGGAGAGAAGTGAGTCGGGGAAAATCGGAGGGAAAGACGAGCCTTGAGAGACTCTGGATTCTGAGAAACAAAATAAGGGTTTTGGAGGGGACGGAGTGGGGGACTGGGTGAACCTGGTAGTGGGTATTAAGGAGGGCACATATTTCATGGAGAACTGGGTGTGGTGAATAAACAATGAATCTTGGAACACTGAAAAAAATAAAATAAAATTACAAAAAAAAAAAAAGACATGGGGTATCAGAATGGATTAAAAAAAAACAAGACCCATCGATACGTGGTCTGCAAAAAATTCGTTTTAGACCCAAAGACACCTCCAGATTTAAAGTGAGGGGGTGGGGGCACCTGGGTGGCTCCGTGGGTTAAGCCTCTGCCTTTGGCTCAGGTCATGATCACAGAGTCCTGGGATTGAGCCCCTCATTGGGATCTCTGCTCAGTGGGAAGCCTGCTTCCCCCACTCTCTCTGCCTGCCTCTCTGCCTACTTGTGATCTCTCTTTCTTTCAAATAAATAAATAAATAAATTTTTAAAAAAATAAAATGAGGGGTGGAAAATAATTTACCATGTTAATGGAAATCAAGAGAAAGCTGGGATGGCAATCCTTATATCAGAATCCTTATATCATAAAATTAGATTTTAAGCCAAGACTATAATAAGAGATGAAGAAGAACACTATATCATAAAGGGTCTGTCCAACAAGATCTAAGAATTTTAAATATCTATGCCATTAACATGGGAGCAGCCAATTATATAAACCAATTAATAACAAAAATCAAGGAAACACATTCATAATACAGTAATAGTAGGGAACATTAACACACCCCTCACTGAAATGGACAGAACATATAAGCAAAAGATCAACAAGGAAATAAAGGCTTTAAATGACATACTGGCCCAGATGGACATCACAGACATATTCAGAACATTCCATCCCAAAGCAACAGAATGCACATTCTTCTCTAGTGCAGATGGAAAATTCTCCAAAATAGATCACATCCTGGGTCACAAATCAGGTCTCAACCAGTACCAAAAGACTGGGGTCATTCCCTGCATATTTTCAGACCACAATGCTTTGAAACTAGAACTCAACCACAAGAGGATATTTGGAAAGAACCAAATACATGGAGGCTAAGGAGCATCCTACTAAAGAATGAATGGGTCAATCAGGAAATTAAAGAAGAATTGAAAAAAAATCATGGAAACAAATGAAAATGAAAACACAACTGTTCAAAATCATTGGGATGCAGCAAAGGCAGTCCGGAGAGGAAAGTATATAGCGATACAAGCCTTTCTCAAGAAACAAGAAAGGTCTGAAATATGCAACCTAACCCTACACCTAAAGGAGCTGGAGAAAGAACAGCAAATCAAGCCTCAACCCAGCAGGAGAAGAGAAACAATACAGATCGGAGTAGAAATCAATGAAATAGAAACCAAAAGAACAGCAGAAGAGATCAACAAAACTAGGAGCTGGTTCTTTGAAAGAATTAATAAGATTGATAACCCCCTGGCCAGACTTACCAAAAAGAAAAAGAGAAAGGACCCAAATTAATAAAATCATGAATGAAAGAGGAGAGATCACAACCAGCACCAAAGAAATACAAAAAATTCTAAGAACATATTATGAGCCACTATACACCAGCAAATTTGACAATCTGGAAGAAATGGATACATTCTTAGAGACATACAAACTACCAAAACTGAACCAGGAAGAAATAGAAAACCTGAACAGACCCATAACCAGGGAGGAGATTGAAGCAGTCATCAAAAACTTCCAATAAACAAGAGCCCAGGGCCAGATGGCTTCCCAGGGATATTCTACCGAACAGTTAAAGAAGACTTTATACTTATTCTCCTGAAACTGTTCCAAAAAATAGAAATGGAAGGAAAACTTCTAAACTCATTTTACGAGGCCAGCATTACCTTGATCCCAAAACCAGACAAAGACCCCATCAAGAAGGAGAATTACAGGCCAAAATCCTTGATGAACACGGATGCAAAAATTCTCACCAAAATACTAGCCAATAGGATCCAACAGTACATTAAAAGGATTATTCACCACAACCATGTGGGATTTATTTCTTGGCTGCAAGGTTGGTTTAACATCTGCAAATCAATCAATGTGATACAATACATTAAAGTATCATATGGTACTCTCAATAGATGCTGAAAAAGCATTTGACAAAGTACGGCATCCTTTCTTGATCAAAACTCTTCAGAGTGTAGGCATAGAGGGTTCATACCTCAATATCATCAAAGCCATCTATGAAAAACCCACAGCAAATATCATTCTCAATGGGGAAAAACTGAGAGCTTTTCCCCTAAGGTCAGGACCATGTCAGGGCTGTCCGCTATCACCACTGCTATTCAACATAGTACTAGAAGTCCTAGCCTCAGTAATCAGACAGCAAAAAGAAATAAAAAGCATCCGAATCGGCAAAGAAGAAGTCAAACTCTCACTCTTTGCAGATGGTATGATACTTTATGTGGAAAACCCTGAAGACTCTACTCCAAAACTGCTAGAACTCATACAGGAATTCAGTAAAGTGTCAGGATACAAAATGAATACACAGAAATCACTTGCATTTCTGTACACCAACAACAAGACAGAAGAAAGAGAAATTAAGGAGTCGATCCCATTTACAATTGCACCCAAAACCATAAGATACCTAGGAATAAATCTAACCAAGAGGCAAAGAACCAGTACTCAGAAAACTATAGAGTACTCATGAAAGAAATTGAGGAAGACACAAAGAAATGGAAAAAAAGTTCCATGCTCATGAACTGAAAGAACAAATATTGTGAAAATATTTATGTTACCTAGAGCAATCTACACATTTAATGCAATCCATATCAAAATAACCATCTTTTTTTTTTTCAAAGAAATGGAATAAAAAATCCTAAAATTTATATGGAACCAGAAAAGACCCTGAATAGCCAGAGGAGTGTTGGAAAAAAAAAAAAAAAAAACAAGGTTGGAGACTTCACAATTCCAGACATTAAGCTCTATTACAAAGCGGTAATCATCAAGACAGAATGGTACTGGCACAAAAACAGACACATAGATCAATGGAACAGGATAGAAATCCCAGAAATGGACCCTCAATTCTATGGTCAACTAATCTTTTACAAAGCAGGAAAGCATGTCCAATGGGAAAAAGACAATCTCTTCAGCAAATGGTGTTGGGAAAATTGGACAGCCACATGCAGAAGCATAAAACCGGACCATTTCCTTACACCACACACAAAAATAGACTCAAAATGGATGAGAGACCTCCATGTGGTACAGGAATCCATCAAAATCCTGGAGGAGAGCATAGGCAGCAACCTCTTTGACCTCAGCCACAGCGACTTCTTCCTAGAAACATCGCCAAAGGCAAGGGAAGGAAGGGCAAAAATGAGCGATTAGGACTTCATCAATTTTAAAATCTTTTGCACAGTAGGGAAAACAGTCAACAAAACCAAAAGACATCTGACAGAATGGGAGAAGATATTTGCACACGACATATCAGATAAATGGCTAGTACCCAAAATCTATAAAGAACTTATCAAACTCAATACCCAAAGAATAAGTAATCCAATCAAGAAATGGGCAGAGGACATGAACAGACATTTCTGCAAAGAAGACTTCCAAATATCCAACAGACAGTGCTCAACATCACTCAGCATCATGGAAATACAAATCAAAAAGCACAGTGAGATACCACCTCACACCAGTCAGAATGGCTGAAATTAACCAGTCAGGAGATGACAAGTGTTGGTGAGGATGCAGAGAAAGGGGAACCCTCCTACACTGCTGGTGGAAATACAGGCTAGTGCAGCCAGTGTAAAAAACAGTTTAGAGGTTCCTCAAAATTTGGAAATAGAGCTACCCTATGACCCAGCAATTGTACTACTGGTTAATTACCCTAAAGATACAAATGCAGTGATTTATAGGGGTATATGCTTCCAAATGCTTATAGTCGCAATGTCCACAATAACCAAACTATGGAAAGAGTTTAGTTATCCATCAACAGTGGAATGGATAAAGAAGTAGTAGTGTATATATATTCAATTGGATACTATGCAGCCATCAAAAAAAAAAAAAAAACGATGAAATTTTGCCATTTCCAATGACGTGGATGGAAATAGAGGGTATTATGCTAAGCAAAATAAGTCAACCAGAGAAAGATGTTTATCATACGATCTCAGTGATATGAGGAATTTGGGAGGCAGGGCGCAGGGTTGTGGGGAAAGAGAGGGAAAAATGGAACAAGATAGGGCCAGGGAGGGAAACAAACCATAAGAGACTCTTAAACTCAGGAAAGAAACTAAGGGTTGCTGGAGGGGAGAAGGGTTGGAAAGTTAGGGTGCCTGGATAATGGATTGGGAGAGGGTATGTGTAATGATAATGCTGTGAAATGTGTAAGACTGATAATTCATAGACGTATGCCCATGAAACAAATAATACATTATATGGTAATAAGAAAAAATGCATATATATCATTATTGGAAAAATCATCATATAGGTAAGGTTCTATAAATATGTACAATACAAACCTAGATATATTACTAAGCAATTTACATGCTTCATTTTCTTACAAGAAACATCTTATTAATGTCACTTTTTACACTTGAGGAAAATGATATTCCAAGGGATTAAGAAAGTTCTGCAGAGGTTTTCTGCAACTAAAGGATAGAGTAAGAATTAAGATCAAAGCTGTCTGATTCCAAAACTGTAGGAAATAACAACTACATTATACAACATTAATGATGTTTTCTATTTTCAACGTATTTAGTTATTCTGAGGGAGATTAGGAAATTTTAGCTAACACATTTTAGGACCCTTGAAACTTGATTATCACATAGCTCAGATTTTGGGACTTGATGAAACTTTATTTACTACAGGACTATTTTTAGTTTTTTTTTAACCCTTGTTGAAACTTTCTTATGGAGAAGATAATCTTCACCAACATAGGAAGCCAAGAACAAATATAAGGAATTATAAATATATTTGGCCATATAAAGATTTATAAATTTTTGCATTGCAAAAAACAACAAAAAACAATAGCTATATGAGAGTTGGGG